GGCAGGAAGGAGAGCATGCTGATAATGCTAGCAGGAGAAGCTAATGTTTCACAGGCCTCGTATCTTGCTCACCGAGGAGGCCTGCTATGAACACAGCCCCCCCATCTAGCTTCTGAGTTGCAAAATGGCTATTTGGATGAAGCAGTTGCTGCTCATGGGGCCTAGTAAGAAGTCAGCAAGCAGAACATCTCGTGCTGGCTGACGCAAAGCCCAAGATCCAATTATCACATTAAACAAGTGAAACGTATACCTGTGTTCCTTCCGGAGGGCACTAGCATGGGTTTACGAACACCCGAGTCGAAAGATCAAGTTTTTGTACTTGGATATTCCTGGCATTTTCAAGAAAAAGGAAGTTTTTGTGGAAACCCTGATTTTGAAACTGACCCCTTAGGCCAACTACATCCCCAGGAGGCTATACTGGAGCCGCCTCCTTCATTCCCGAACAGCACTATCCTAATAACTCTTATGGCTGCTGTCATTGTACTTTGTATTTACTAACACCGAATTTCTGAGCATCACTGTTTCCTGTTCACGCGGGGGGGGGGGTTGACAACCTCTTGAACTTCCTCTGCTGCGGATTAGTCTTGCACTTCTTTTCAGCGACATAGTCCTCAGGTGTCGTAGCATTCATCCCCCAACTCGTGAAATACTCAAGGCAGTATTATTGGTGGGACAGTAAGAGGTTGTCCCCTGCAGCCACTCAAGGCAGGATTGTCTTTAATGAAACCATCCCAAGTGTCTGTCCAGTCTGCTCTTCAAATGTTTCCAGGGATGGAGATTCCCCACCTTCTCTTGGGTTCCTGTTCCAATGTTTGACCACCCTCCAAGTCAGCAAGATCCTTCTAATCTCCAACCTAATTTTCTGCTGCTGTGGCTGGAGGCCATTGTTTGTAGTCCTGTCCCCTAAAGTCATTGAGCAAAGCCCATCTCCAGCCTCTCTGTAATCCTGCTTCAAGTATTTTGAAGATTATTCTCAAATCTTCTCTTCTCCAAACTAAATGACCTTAGTTCTTGCAGCCTTTCCTCATCAGCCTTGCTTCCTAGGTCTATAATCATTTGTGTCACTCTGCTGGACTCATTTCCAACCTGTCCACATCCTTCTTGAAGCGTGGGGCCCAAAACTGGATATAGATGAGGCCTCATCAGTGCCAAATAGAGTGGAAGAATCGCTTCCCTTGATTTTCAAGGGACACTCCTGTTAATATAATGCAGTATACCACTGGCCCTTTTTTTGCAACAAGGGGATATTCTTAGTGCATATTCAGCTTATTTTTATTCAGCTTTGTTTTATTCTAAGTTCGTTTAAAAAAATTTAGGACAATTTTTGTTCTGGGCATTTTTCTCTTCTTGTTATAGAGTAGCAGAACTTATGGCTTTGCTTTTAACGTATGGTGCCCACAACATGTAATTTAAGAGAGACTCTGGGGGTGCATCCAGATGAGCATGCAACATGTTTTCCTGGGGAGCAGCGGCACATATTTGTGGTGCTGCTGCTGGTCCTCGAGGAACACCCGTGCACACACGCTCTGGTGTGCAACATGCTATACCTGGAGTCCTAGGGGCCTCCCAAGACACAGTGGTGATGCAGGCACGCAGCACTTGTCTGACAGCTGGGGCATGGCTTCGGCCTGCCAGGCTCCAGTTTTGGGTGGCTTACGCTGCCGCCACATGAACTGCTTGCTTTTTTCTTCTGAGGGTTATTTTGACACCCGCCATGCTGTAAACTAGCAGCACAGCAAACGCACGCATGTGTGGTGTGTGTGTGGTCTGTAGCATTGCAGACGGGTCTGCAGTGCTGCAAATTGTACATGCGTGCCCGTCTGGACATGTCCTGGCAGTTGCCTTAACTGGAGGCCATCTCAGGACAGGGGTATTCTCTTTCTGCCAAGGACTGACAGGTCTGGATCCACTCCTAAGCTGCAAACAGGCTGAAGTACCCATAGTAACAAATCTGCTGACCTTCTTCCCCGAAGAATACAAACTTCTTCAAGCACCAGTATTTCTATTCTCATCTCTCAGCAAGTCTGACCAGGACAAACTTTCAGCTAACAAAGGCCTTGTCTGTACTAGGAGGATTTTGCCAGTTTAACTCTGCACACCCATATTGATATTACAGGGTTGTAGCAGGGTAGATAGTTTAGTGAGGGGTCTGCTTCTTCAGCATAGGCCAGGATTTCAGGATATGTCTGGATATATCTATATATTTTTAATTCCCAGATGCTTTTGCTATTCTTTGAGGATAAGAATCCTTTCCCCAGAAGGGGCGGTGTATATGGGAATTCAAGAGAAATTGGCTATTACCTATGTCTTGGGCTCCGCTGTTATTTCAGAGCACAAATAGGACTGGATACTAATCGTGGTGATTTCAGCTCCTGTATGAAGAGCTGAGCCGCTTGCCTAATTTGGGAAGAAATTTGCTAGTGGTGTTCCAGCAGGTGCCTTGGGGATTTTCACCTTTTTCTGGAGCATTGGGTAGGAATAATCTCTTAATATCTGCCGGACATAGCACACACAACTGACTTCCTTTGATGGAGCGTTGAGGGAAACTGGTGCGTCCCATCTTCTAATCTGCGTTTATATTAGACACTAGCCGATTGTAATTTAAGTCCCATGTCAGTTTGAAAAGACCTGCCTCGGGGCTGGTAGTTGCCAGGAGTTTGAATGCACCGGTTGTTTGAGTTTCTTATTTAAAAAAAACAAAACAAATAAGACAAGTCAAGTTCACTTTAGAAAAGATGAGCACGAGCTACAGACTGAATTGGTAGGTGGATGCTCTTTGTACGGGATCACGAGTGGGCAACTGTCTAATGTGAACTCTGAAGTTGGAGAGCATAATTTTAATATTTGCTTGACTAGAATAAATAAAAATGAAACTCGTTCCAGTAATGGATTCTGAAATGTTTGTGGCTCTTCACCTCCGGGTTGATTTAAGCTTCAAGGATACGGCATCTTCTTTAGGAATCGAACGAGCCTTATGTTGTTATTTCAGGTGTGTGCAGACACAAACCAAAACTGAGAGAGATCTCAGGTTGAAGGGACATCTGCAAGGAGAACCGCTGCTCCCCTGCTGTTGCATTGGAGTTTCTCCCTGGGCTTTCGCTGATATTTTGGGATGGGCGAGGCTTGTGGCCGGAGCCGCCTTACATTCAGAAACGTTGGCAGCTGAGATTACTGTAAATGACAAGAGGCGATGCAGTCTGACCCATTCATCTGTTTCTGTCTTCGGCAGAGAGGTTTCCAGTAAACCCTTAGTGATCGTGCAGTGCTTTATCGTGACTCATGGAGCCATTTCTATCTGACACAGGCACCTGTGTTCGGAGACAAGTGCAAGTAACCGTCAGTTGCGCTTGTCTTATTCATCCAGTTTTTATCACATGTGCTCCTTTACTGCTTTACTCGCTTGTATTTCTGCCTCTTGCCTGCGACATTTGGCATCTGATGGACTAAAGCACTTACCTGCAGTAGCTGTCGTTTGGGCACTGCGCTCTCTGAGCGGGGGAGTCAGTTTCAGAAAATCCCTTGCAATTTTTCTCTTCCTTATGTTTTCAAGAGTCTGGGGTGAATGAGACAGGGGGGCTTCCCAGACATCTGGAGAGGGAGACTAGGCACAGGCAAAAAAACTTGCTGGAAAACAGTGTCCCTTGAAGTATGATAGCAGCTGCTGTGCTCTCATGTGTGTGCCTGGGTGTGCGTGCTAGTACTAGGCTGGGCCACTAAAGTGAATCTAATTTGGAGATTGCCTCAGCCAGTTTGTTTATGAAACCTGCCCAGGCCAGGTAAAACATATGCTGACAACCTCTCCCTATGGACTATGGATCTGTCCCCCTCCAAGGGTTTCTCTACCTTACTAGCAGGGTTTGGAGTGAACAAAATAGTTGGAAGCATTGGGTTGAATATAGTGCTGTTAGGTAGACAACTCTGACGCGTGTCCTCTTTCTGTTCACACTTGGGCCCTGATCCAGCTAATTGCTTAATTCAGCACATATTTCACTTTTTAAGGGGGTGAATAGCTTCATTTCATCAGGGTCTCTGGATACCAGGGGGGTGATGGCATTATCTGTGCCCTTGAATCCACAAAACTTCACAGCATGGGTGGCTGCAGGGAAGACCCCTTGCTGTCCTGTCAGTACCCGTCTCTCCCTTTGGAAGAACTGCCTTTGAGAC